CYTTWWTKRAAAAAAAGCCTRAARTAAAGCTCCTTTATTTTCTTTTGCTGATCAAATCACTGAAAGATTTAGATTGGAAGGGACCTTAAAGATCTCCTGCCCCCTGCCATGGGCAGGGACACCTTCCACTAGACCAGRTTGCCTCAAGTCACATCTAACCTTACCTTGGACACCTCTAGGGATGGGGCAGCCACAGCTTCTCTGGGCAACCTGTGCCAGGGCCTCAGAATTATTTTCTAATATCTAATCTAAACCTCCATCACCTAATCTCCATCAGYTGGAAGTCATTCCCTCTTGTTTTGTCACCACTCCTCTCTCCACCTTTCTTCTAGGCTTTCTTAAGGTACTGGAAATTGTGTTAAATAAAGATTTCAAAGTCATAAGGAAAAGGTTTTTACCCAAATAATTAATAAAACAAAATCCTAAAAAAATTGGTTCAACTGAAGCTCAATTTTCTTCCATTATCTGCGTTTCTAGATGACTGGGTTTTTTTTAACTACCCCATGGTTGATTGTAGAAAATAATTATTTGGCAAAAACATGAGAAAAAGACTGAAATAAATAGAAAAACTGATTTAAAATAGAACAAAACCACATCAATAGTTAACCTGTTATGAGACATTATTTAGATGCAGTGCTATTCAGAACAGAAAACGTTTTGAAGGCTACCTCATACAGATCAGCACACAAGAAACAGCTRCACAGATTTTTAACTCTGCCTGAAAACAAATCACATGTGTGTTACTCTGATATTTTTTTTCAGGGCAGCAGAGGACTCAGAGAGGTGTTCACTATCTGCTACTAAAGGTTTAATCAATAAGTTAATTACTCTTTTAATCTAGTTGGCTATTTTGCATGCATCGATTCTTCTTCACTCTTTTCCATCAAAATCCTTATCTGCTCAAAATAACATTGATCAGATTTAATCAGATTTAATCTAGCCATCTGTTAAAACATGAATCAAAAGTTACTAATGGCTTCTTTGAGTTCTCAAAGTTCTGTATCTCAAATGTCATTTAAATTCATGAGGCAGCTAACAGAGCACCTGCCAGCAGGCGACAATAGCTGGTGCTTGCAACAATTGCAGAAAAGAGAAATGACTTTTGGTTAATAGGACACCTAGAACACAATTTCACCCCCACCTGTCAGTGACAGCAGTGTTGTCAGAAAAACTTTTACCAAGAGTTGGACATACCTGTTAAACTTAACTAAGAGGAGGCTGARATCAGACCTYATTGGGGTCTGCAGCTTCCTCCCCAGGGAGGTAAAGGGACAGCTCCAGCTCTCTGTGATCAGTGACAGGGCCCRAGGAAACAGCTGGAGCAGTGCCAGGGGAGRTTTGGGTWGGGTAYTGGGGAAAGGTTCTTCACCCAAACAATAGCTGGGCCCTGAACAGACTCTCCAGGGCCTGTTCACATTCCCAAAGCTGCCAGAGCTCAAGCAGTGCTTGGACAATGCTCTCAGGCACAGGGGGGAATTGTTGGGATATCCTGTGCAGGGCCAGGAGATGGAATTTCATGATCCTTATGGTCCCTTCCAACTCAGAATATTCAATGACTACATAAACTCCATCACAATGATTCAACAAAACCAGGGCCTAATTCCTCATCCAGCCAGGACCTCGCTGCTGAACACCCCAGAGCATTTGGGGCTGAATTCCCCTGCAGCTCTCCCCACACCAGCCCAGGCACACACCAGGGATATCCCTGATCTCCCCCACAGAACCGACAGCAAGCACTGGATGTTTCCAAGGGGGTCCCCAGCTATGGTGACCAAAGCTTCACCCCTTTGCTGAGACAACAAATGGAAAAGAAGCTTTTAGGGTGGGAAATGCAGCCCTAGGGAGATGCTTCACAGACAGGGACAGGGGCTCTCATGGCTATGGAGTGTCTGCTGAAGACACAAACCGTGGCCAACCCTCAGCTCAGCTCAGCACATCACCCTGGCAATGCTCAGGCCTGCTGCAAAATGTGAAATATTTAAAGCTTTTCCTAAGAAAGRATGTTCTTTGATGTTTGATCCTTRTAACTTTYAAGATTAACCAKAAASAAAGGAGATTTAATRGTTGAAACAGAGCAGCCAACAGGCTCTAAGAGATGTCTAGGTGTTAGAAAGACAAAATACTTGTCAAGAGAATTGCTTAAAGTTTATGGCTGGATATGTTTCACTGATGTCAGCCATAGAGGGAGATTTACAAAGGTTGGGAAGAAGGATGCACCACTGATAGTGGACACAAAGGATTCAGAATTTATGGGCCACAAGGACATTTGACAGAACCCCAAAGATAAAAGACAACTCGGAAACAGCGCTGAATCAGCTCGGATTGGGTAAAAGGTTATTCCAGCAGGGGCACCTTACAGCCACCAATCCAAGAAACACATTGGCTTAAAGGAAGACTGAGCGTGTGGACTAATTACCATGGGAAGGGAGATAATCATCAATCAATAAAAGATAAGAGAACTATGTAACTTGTAGCCAATGAACATTAACACTTTTATATCCGCTAAAGAGCAGAAATAATGAAAAGTTTTGCTAGCCGCAGCGCCGGCTTTGTGGATTTGCCCTCCAGCGTCCCTTTCTGCACAGAGCTGTAAATAAACCAAACACCTCCACTCTGCGGATCGGGCTGTATCACACCGGGTAAAACAACCTGCTCGGGGCTCTGTCACTCACCGCCAAGGCCGCCCAGGACTCCCGCGGCTCCATGGAGGGATCAGCGGCAGCGGAAGCGGCGCTGAGGGCGCTCCCGGTGCGCTCCCATGGGCGCAGCCATATTGCCGCGGTCACGTGGGCGCGGCTCCCACTGCGCCTGCGCGCCGGCCCCGCGCATGCGCGGAACGGGCAGCGCGCAGCAATTAAAGCCGTGTTAATTAATTAATTAATTAATTAGTTAATTAGTTAATTAGTGCTAAATGGCGGTTTGCTGTGCACTATAGCACAGCCGCTCTAAAAGCGGGGGAAATTAGCCCTTTCTGGCGCTCTTGAGGTGCTCGTGGGTTCCTGCTGCCCCTGGCTGGGGTTTGTTTGGAGAGCAGCTTTTCCATGTGCCCCTGAAAAAAAAAAAAAATGACATCCTGAGGGAAAAACAGGCCTGAAATCCTGAAATGGATGCATCCTGAGGGAAAAACAGGCCTGAAATCCTGAAATGGATGCATCCTGAGGGAAAAACAGGCCTGAAATCCTGAAATGGATACATCCTGAGGGAAAAACAGGCCTGAAATCCTGAAATGGATACATACTGAGGGAAAAAACAGGCCTGAAATCCTGAAATTGAGGTTTTCCTCACATGGTGTTGAGGTCTGCAAGCTGAGTTTTCTGTCTTCAGGAATTTTCTCACTTTTTGTAAACGTAACTGGTGATGTCAGATAATTTCTACAATAGAAATCGATTTCGTGTTGCCAGCATTGCATAAAATCAGATTGCCTGAATAAATATGCGTTAGRTAGGTGGGCAAGTTATATTAGATAGGCGGGTTCTTGTAAATCTTGTTGTATAAAAGATGTAACTTCTTATCCTTTTGGTTGCTTGATCAGTGCAATTTTCCGCCTTACACCCTGTGCGAAATAAATAATGTCTCCTTTCAAAACTAAATTGTTTCTGTGTTTAGAGAGTCCTAAAATTGTCAGCAATGTCTGCAGCAATGGCACCATGCAGCTCAGACTTTCCATGGGATGCTCCCATGAGCCAGAACAATGCACAGCAAACAAAATTATAAACTCACCCAACCAGGGTCATTKCTCCTGCCTCTTCCCAGAACTCTCCTGCAATGGAAAATGCCATTTTTCACCCTTATCCCAAATGTTTTTACATGTTGTGTTTGTGTCTCGTTGGCTCTCCCCGTTCTTGCAAAGGGCATTCAATTAATCAGTGGTTCTGAAAGCTGCAGAGAGGATTTTGGCACAGAGTCCTCACACAATCCTCACCCAGCAGGAAACCGCACTTGAAATTACGGGAAATGTGATTCCAGAGGAGGAAAAAAGGGTGGACGTCGGAGAGCACTGCAGTGTGTGCAGGACCAGAAAATTCAGGCAGGCTCCAATTCCAAGATTTCCTTGGCTGCAAGTAGGTCACTTGGGATGCCTTTTGGATGTGGTGATGCCTCACGTCCAGCTCAGCTCCTCTCCATCAGGGTGTTTGCTGTGACCTGGGCTGCAACACCTGCCCACACCAAGCACCGTGACCGACATGAAAGTGCCATTGCCAACTCCAGCAAATTTTTTGTAGCTCTCCTACAACGCTGTGATTATTTTTCCCGATCTGTCTCTGTCCCCAGAGATGGGTGATGCTRGAGCAGTCTTCGTTTCATGTAGTCTTCATTTTCATTTTGAGTGAAAAGCTCAGAGCTCTGCAGGCAGAAATAGAAAGAACCTGAATGTGTTGCGTTTCTCAGCCTCCTTAGATTTTTAAGGCAGTTCCTTGGTTTTCTGTCTCTAACTTACAATATTTACAGAAATCTGGTGGATTATCAATACCTTGCTTTGGTTTAGGCTATATTGTGCTTATTAAGAAGCACTTCTTGGTTTCATATCAGGAATGATGAAACAATTATATTCCTTTGACATTACCACCACATGTGTCTCCAGTGTGGATGCCTGACCACRTGAAGTCTAGGACAGGCCAGTTTGCTGTCCTAGGAATTAACTCCTGAAAATTCCCATAGCAAACAGATTAGAACTAGAGAGTTAAGGTCTCTTCCAACCCAAACCATTCTGTGATTCTTCAAAAACTTTTATTCTGGTTCCTAGAAGAAGCAGGAGCCACAGTTACGTATTCCAGCTGTAATATAGGGATGACTGGACTGTGAGCAGTTATTACTGTAACTTATTTCAGCAGAGCACCTGGCTCTCTGAAAGTACCCTGCWATTTCCACAGAAATAAAAAGGATCTGAAATCTACTGTTTCCAGCTGGTATTCTGTTGAGTGTCTAAATAAACACAAAAGCTGAAAATTCCTCAGTTTCCAGGTCCWTGTCTGTCATTAAACTAAGCACATTGGAGCCATATTGAGAGAAAAAATCAGCCATCTGCAGTAAATGAAGCGTACTTTTGGAGCCACTGCTAACCCAGCGATGGCAGCACTTAAAACAAGACCTYTGTACCCCATGTGCCCAGGAGGTCTCTCGATGTGAAGGATTTTGGGGTCATAGCAAGCATTTTTCACATTGTTCAGTGCAAAGCTTTCAGATACATTCTGTGGCACTGACTCTTTTATTTATCACCTTCTGTCAGGAGAACTGCTGCTGCATCAGAGAGGTCACAACCTTCTATTCTTCCACGCCACTGTCCTGTCTTAAATGAACAAGTTCTGCTTAATGCCACAGGCCAAACATCAATCTTTGTGCCAAATCCTTCTGTGGACTCCCCCAGGCTTAAAAAGTAAGTTGAGTGAAGAAAGAGATATGGTTTCTCACAGGGTTTCTTCCCTGCAAGAAAATGCKGCGAGGGAAGATGGGCTGAGCAGAACCATGCATGGGTGGTGTCTGACTGCACCTGAATGGCAGATATTCATGGTCAGCCCTATTTTCAGCTTCTCCCAAGCCTGTCCAGCTCAGGRGCTGGAGAGCAAGCTGGGGAGGCTGAGGAACAGCCACACCATACTTGTCCCAGGCACTGCGGGGGCAGGACCCAAAGCAGAGGAGTGAACAGACACTTGTGTCTATCCTGCTGCAAGTGTACATTCTGCCAGCACCAAAGCAACTTGCTGGCCAAAATAATTTTGCTCAGCTGCTCCTTTCATCTTCCTTTTTGTTCCCTGCTCCTGYTTTTCTGCCCTTTCCTGCCCGTGGCTGCAGGTTGGTAAGAAGGCTTTTAAAAATGGCCATTATGCCTGCACCACTTCACCTGCTTCCCTCAGCCTTTGCAGCACATGAAAGCCTTGGGAAGAGATGAAAAGCCTTTTAATTGCAGTAAAATAAAGAACATGCTGCATCTCTGGATGTACTGAGGGGGATATGAGCTGCCGACAGCATAGCAACCCCGTAGCTTCTGCTCTGCAGAAAAAGACATCTCGGGGAGAGAATATCAGCCACTCGTGGTTCCTCTTTGYCAGAGCTATTTAAGAACAATTTTGGATTGATTTCACATTAACCCTTCCACTAGTACAACAGTGCACATGCACAGAAATGCCTGTATATGTGGGTCTGTGAATATCTAAATCCTTTGTGAGTGTTTCCTCCCCACTCTCTGGCTGCTGCTGGATGTCTGACACCAGCAGCAGAAGATTTATTGATCTGGTCATAACATATTAAGGCTGCTCAAGAGCAGATGTTAAAAACAGACTTCTTGGCATATATCAGCCCCCAGCGGTATTGGTCTCACACATGTTCCACTTTATTTATTGAAGCAATTGCTCTCCTCATTCTCTTCATTATCTTCCTCCAGGGCAATTCAGGCACGTCAGGGCCAGCCCCTTCCAGTCAGTCAGTCCTTCTTGGATCGATGTTTTTTCTTTAGCTTGGGCAACACCCGACAGCTTTTCCTTCCTTAGAAGCCAGGCCCATCCCACTGTTCATGAAAGCAGATGGAAATTTATCAGCTGCAAAAATTTATCCTGGCATAAATATAATGAAAAGACAGACTCAGGGATCCCCCTAATTTGATAATAAGCAGGTGCATAATGRGGCCAGGGAAGCCATCTGAAGGGGGAACTTCAATGCTATGACCACAAACAGCACCCAAGAGGCTGTGATGCACCACAGGAGCACATCGTGGCAGGCAAGGAACAAAACACAACCCTTTGACCATCAAAAYGTTGTTTGTCTCATCTGATAGCAAACAGCCACAGAAATGTGAAATTAGTGCCTAATAAAGGGCACTTCCTGTGCAGGGGAGCAGCGTGGCTTCATGCACCAGAAAGGTGTGACAGTGTGAAAGTGGTCCTTCTCCAGGGGACAGTGTTGTCACCAGACTCCTTAAACACTTGATGTGCACACTCTTAAGTTGAGGGCTCCTTGCAGAAGCACAGATTTATATTCTGCAGTTTATTTCTCTCAGGGATAGGGCAGCAGTGCTCCCRGCCACAGCCTCAGTGGACTACAATCCAAGAGGTCCCCTGACACCAGGGCTCTTGCCCAAGGAAGCAGAGCCCAGTTCCCAATGATTCCCCCAGGACTGGTACTTGCCTCCAGCTGCCACCCCACTGCCCAGTGCCCCATGGCCCCTCTGTGTCTCAGCAGCTGTGCTGCAAACCTCTGCCCATGTGCTTCTGGAGCTGCCTCCTTCAGAAAAATGAAAATTAACTGAACATTTTCCTAAAATGTAGCCAGCAGTGGACAGCTGGACCTGGATAGGCAGGAATTTTTCCAGCTCTCATTTTGCAAGTCTCCCTTTTCCTGTCCTAACCCTCCTGCAAACTACAGGCAAGGCTGGTTGAATCTGGATTTTAGATGATTTTYTGCCACTCATACAACATTAGCTCCCCCTCACGCTTACAGCAGCGTTCCCTGTTCTTAAGGAGTCTGGCAGGGTTTAGAAATTCTGCTGAAATACTAATTGCAGTAAACTTTTATGGAAACAGATGGGGAAACCAGACAGCCATAAATTTAATAACTCCTTTGAGTACTTAGCAGCAGAAACACTAGTCCCCAAATTCATTTAGGAAAAAAGTGATTAATGATGATATAGATTTTGCATAATGATAGAAGCCTTAAACTGTACAACTTTTGGATGCTCCTCATTTATTCTGCCTTATTGGCTGCCTGTACAATTGAAGATGAGAGGCCTGGGAAAGACAGAAAACATGCATTTTAACTACTGGGTAAAGTAAGTGAAACAACAGCCCAGTGG